TGGGGTCATGCTTTCTCAGCACGGCCCCTCCCTGTTTGAGACCTGCCTGAACCTGGCTGCCAGGCTGGTGGATAGGCTGCTCCAGAACTCCTTGGGAGCAGTGTTCCCTAGCATTGTGGGAACTTGGGGCTGGCTGGGGGGCCATTCTCTGCTGGACCCCTGTCCCCGCACTGCCAAGGAGAAGCCCATTTTGGCCTGGTCCAGAAGGGAAGGCTGCCAGCTGCACCCCCCCCCCACCACCATGGGCTCCCCAGGGGCCTAGCTCTCCCCGCCAGCCGCAGTGGAGCCCCAGGCATTTCTGCTGTCGGTACCTGGGGTCTGATCCTCCCTTTGGGCCGGAACACAGATCTAGAGTTCCCAACCCCCTTCCCTTCTTCCTGCTCCCTGGGTTTGGCCACAAGGCCCCCGGGAGGCCTGGCCATGCAGGGTTACAGCAAAACAGAGAAGGGGCTCTCGCAACGACTCCCTGGCTGGCCGTGTTGCTGTTTACTGGATGTGGAAACCCGCTTCACTTATCTTCTCTCCTAGACCACAGAAAGCCCACTCCAGCCAGCCTGCCACAGGAGCTGGTTCTGGAAAAACAGCTGTGTGGAGTGGCTCAGAGTCACAGAGTCAGCTGTGTGGAGTGGCTCAAAGCATCAGAGTTTAAATCTGAGCCTTCCCACTTTCCAGCTGGGTGGCCTTGGGCAGGTTACTTAACCACTCTGAGCCTTGGATTTCTCACCCGTGAGACGGGAATAATTCCTCTCTCCGTAGGCTGGCGTGAGGTTGTATGCAAGCCCTCACATGGTGCCCGGCACGTAGTAGGTGTTCAGGGAATAGCGGCTCTTTCTCCAACCCTCGTGGTCTCTAGCTTCTGTTACATTATCACGGACCTTCTCCCTTCTGCTGTTCTGTGCCCCCTTGACCAGAGAGAGTCCTGACGTTTGCTTGATTTTCTAGTATATGCCCAGTGGCCGTCCCAAGCCAATATCTGATGTGGAGCCCTACCCTGGGGTCTTGGCAGGGGATGTTGACCTTGGCTGAGGTGGGGAAGAAGGACACCAGACATAGCCTTCTTTTCTGCCCTGTGGGCGTCTCTTGATGTATCCCGCTGGGACCCACAGCCGCGGGAAGCAGTTCCAGGTCTCCCCAGAGCTGGCGCACGGGCCTGACCTTTGGCATTGGGAGGGTGGAGGCCGACAGCCAGTTCTTGAGCGCACAGCCAGATTAGAGCCTGCCAGGGGGCCGCCCGCGCGAGGGCCGGGGTCCTGGGCCTCTCAGGAGGCTGCACCTCTTGGCTGTGGCTCCCCCTCCTGGCTGTGGCTCCAGCACCAGCTCACGGCTGTGGCTGGGACCTGTGTGCCAGGGCACTTCTGCAGCCCTGTCCAGCCCCCTCCTTGGCCTGTGGGAAGGGTCAGGACAGCTTCAGCTGAATCAGAGCCCCACTCAAGGGCTGGGGGTGATGGGGGTGTGTGCAGATGAGGGTGCCGGGGCACCCCAGATGGACCCCACTAGGGGATGTGGAATGGCAGGGCCAACCCCACCTTTTTTTTTTTTAAGTTTATTTTGAGAGAGAGGGAGAGGGAGCGCATGAGCAGGGGAGGGGCAGAGAGAGGGAGAGAGAGAGAATCCCAAGCAGGCTCCACACTGTCAGTCCAAGGCCCGATGTAGGGCTCGAACTCATGAACCGTGAGATCATGACCTGAGCTGAAATCGGGAATCCGATGCTTAACCGACCGAGCTACCCAGGGCCCCCCTCCTTATTTTAATGAGGGAATAAGGGTGTGAAATAGAATTACTTTTTTATCTCCTTATTTAGCATAAGAAAAGACTAGACTTGCTCATTGCTGAACCCTGCTGCTCTCAGAGCTTCAGAACTGTTCACCCACTCTTACACCCTGGGCCACCTGTTGGGGATCACTTTCCACCTTACTTTCCTGCAGACCTGCAGACAGTGGGGTCTGGGTGGCTCCGTTTGTGTTTCCTTGATTGACAATGGCTTCTTTCATCGTGGTTCTTAAAAGCTGGTTTGCTGGGCCCAGGATTGTGGGTTGACGGTTTCTTTATCTTGGGACTTTGGTGCTATTACTTCAGCATCTCCCCTGGTCACTGCTGACAACCTACCCCTAACTAGATGGATGGTCCTTCCTTGGCAAGTGGCCTGTCGTCTCTCTCGCCGCCTGGAAAGTTTTCTATTTGACTGACGTGAGCACGGAGAGAAGCCCCCTGAGAGACCGTGGCCGCCATCTCTCCTGGGGAAAGGAGCAGATACGCCCCGTGGGACTTCCAGAGAGAGACTTGAGGCCAGTGGAGGAGGCGGACGGGAAGGTTCAGTGGGGCTCACGGCGCCCAGAACTTTCTAACGGGCTAGCACACACGTTGCTGGAAGTGTGGGAGCGTGGGCTGGGAAGAGATTCCCATCGCGTGGGGGGCTGGCCTCAGCTGCCCTGATTACCACCGGCCTGGGGCTCTCTCGATGGTTCCGCATGACTCCTGCCTTTCTCTCCCCTGCCCTGAACCTCTGCCCATCTCCTCCGAAAGGCCCGTGACCTTCTCCAGCGGGACGCGTTCTGGGTCCTCCAGCAAGTCCTCCCTGACCCCTCCCTCCCACATGTACACCACCTTCCTTTCCCCCAGCTCCTGGGGTCTAGATACACCCGTCCCTGAAGCATTTGGTCGCCAGATTATTTCAGAGTGCTGTGCTGAGTGGGGTCTCTCCGGATGGTGCGTCCCCCTTCTGCTTGCTCAGTACTGCATTTAGGCCAGTTACCCGGAGTGGGAGGTGGCATCGGAAGGCCCCGCTCAACCCCCACCAGTGATGGACACTCAGGCTCTGATCCTACTTTTTGTTCAGAGAGGCAGCAGCCTCCTCCCCAGTCCCACCGCGAAGACTTCCCCGTGTCCTGGGCCGGAGATGCCAGCCATTGGAGCGGGCATCACTGGGGGCTCCAGCCAATGGCTGGAGATGCCAGCCATTGGAGCAGGCGTCACTGGGGGCTTTGGTGGGTGGCTTTGGCCTGCTGAGTGTGGGGACAGTAAGGAAGGATTCGGGCAGCAACCTGCCTGGCCCGCTTTGGAGAGAGACAGAGCAGGAAGACAGTGGCCCCCTGAGAATTTCCAAAAGCCTAGAGGCCGTGCGGATGCCTCCACCCAAGCATTCCAGCGACTGATCTCTTTTCCTGCCCTGGGGCAACCGGTGGGGTTTCCATGTGTACATGTGGGGCACAGATGTGTCTGTGTGGAGCGTGCCCTGCTTATCACCCCATCTCTGGTCTGCTTGCCCGCAGGGCACATCAGGGAGGTCTGAGACACTGACCACGTAGAAGGCCACGTTCTGAGTTGGAGGGGCTGAAATGTCAAGGTTATTTAAGAGTTACTCCGGTGCAGATTATTTTGGCAGAACAGGAGAGAATTCTTAGGTTGGACTTGTTTGGGAGAGAGTGTGTGTGTGGCCGGTCGGCACCCCCGTCTTCCACCGCACAGTTCTCCTGTGACAGCCATTAGGATCCCCATTCTACAGAAACAGAAACAGAGGTGCCAAGGAGTTGCCTGATGTGCCCTAAGCCACAGAGCTAGGACCCGAACCCGGGACTCTGGCCCCCAGTAACTGCATTGCTTCACCAGTGCTGTGCTCTGACACTGACCCACCCAGCGAGTCACTGAGCGAGTCTCGGGGGTTACGTCCAGCTAGGGGATTAATTATCTAAGTCGTGGCCCATCATACGCAGACATTAGAGATGATACTTTTTTTTTTAAAGTTTATTTTGAGGGGGGAGGGGCAGAGAGGGAGAGAGAGAACCCCAAGGAGGCTCCACACTGTCAGCAGAACCTGACGTGGGGCTCGATCCCGCGAACCGTGAAATCATGACCTGAGCCAAAACCAAGACTCGGATGCTTAACCGACTGAGCCACCCAGGCGCCCCCTAGAGGTGATGCTTTTAAACATACAGAATACTGTTTCATGAAACAACCAATGTGTTAACGGTATATTCAGTATGATTACTGTTTTGTAAATTGAGCCTCCCCCTCCCCCCCCGCCCGCCCACCCCCCCCCACACACACACAGATACACATCCAGCAAGAAGCATGTTAACTGTGGTTATTGTACATCTGGCTGATTGTAGTTTGGGCAATTTGATTTTCCTCTTTCACCTTTTTTTGTACTTTTCAAAGTTTATAGGGTGAAATGTTTTATATTCAGAAAAAAAAGTTAAAACAAAAAATCTGGAATTGTTCAAGGGGCATCCTTAGGAGATGGGCACTCAGGGGAGGGTGAGCTGCCTGTCTCTGGGGGTGGACAGACAGAGCCTCGTCCATCTGTCATGGACACTGTTCCGGGTCTCCTGATTCGGGGAGTAGGAGGGATAGCATTCTTTGGCGGCCTGTGCGGGACACTGCCCCACGGACCCCTGGGCCTGTGGGAGAAGGGAGTTTTCCAGGGCCATGGTCCTCAAACTTGACCGTGGCTGAACATCCCCGGGGATTGTGTTCAGATTACAGACTCTGACTTGGGAGGTGGGCCCGAGACTCTGCATTTCCAAGGTCCTCGTGTACTTTCCCTTGGATTTGCCGTGGAAAAGTGCCCGGGCACTACGGAGCAGACAGACGATTCCGGTGGCAAGTGGAGGGGTACCCAGGGGCTTGAGGATGAGCGACCCGGGCCAGGGGACATTTGTGGAAGGACTCTCCTGAGCCGTGGAAAGATGAGTCTTTGTCAGAGGGCTGAGTGTGAGGCCAGCCCCTCACACTTGGCTTCGTGGAGAGAGTGCACAGGTGGAACTAGGCGGGGCAGGATTTGAATCCCAGGTCTGCAGCAACTTAGCGGTGTGGCCTTGGGAAGGTCCTTTTGCCTCTCTCTGCCTCAGTTTCTTCGTCTGTACAGTAGGGAGAAGAATGCTGCCTGGAAAGGCCATGGTGAGGATAACACGGGTCAGGTACCTGGCTCAGTACCTGCTGTGTGGTAGGCTCTTGACAAACGTTTGCTTCCCTTAAAATTGCATGCTTTTTTCTCCTTGCAGGTGGATGAGATTTACCATGATGAGTCCCTGGGCGCCCACATAAACATTGCCCTTGTCCGCTTGATCATGGTCGGCTACCGGCAGGTGACCACCTCCCTTCTGCAACTGGCAGGGTTTGGAGGGAGAGGGGGTGTGGGACCGGTGCATCGGACGGGCTGTGGTGCGGGGAGGGGCTGGTCAGCATGTAGGAAGCATTTTGGTCCCAGAATCAGAACCCTGAGACCGTTAGAGTTGAGGCTTCAGGGGCAGAGGCATTTGGGGATGTTAAGCGGGGTCTGGGGGATTCCCTGCAGTCTGGAAGCAGGCAGTTGGAGATCCCTCTCCTTGAGGACCCCATGCAGAAATGGGCTCTGAGCCGGGCAGTGACCGCGAGACAAGTCCTGCTCTGGTTGGACCCTGGGGCCCTGGGCTCTGCAGTCTTAGACCGACTGGTGGCTTCTTCTCCCCCGGATGGGGGTGGCAGTAGCACCTTCCTCCAGGGGCTGTTGTGAAGATTAGATGAGACCACGAACACAAGGCACAGAAGTGCTCAGAACTACCCCCGCCTTGCAGCTCGGTCGAGGGATGCGAGAGAATGCGTGTTGAGTTCCCCGCAGACAGGTGTCCCGGCGCAGGGCCTGGCACACGAGTGTTCCCCGAAGCGGGAGGGCTGTGCGCATGCACAGCGACCTGGGGACAGGCACCGCGTCCCATGGGCCTCGGTGTCCTCTGCCACCGGGAGGGGAACGACGGGTGCCCGCTGGCAACCCCCTCTCTGTTGACGCTCTTGGCCCCCGCAGTCTCTGAGCCTGATCGAGCGGGGGAACCCCTCTCGCAGCCTGGAGCAGGTATGTCGCTGGGCACACTCTCAGCAGCGCCAGGATCCCAGCCACGCAGAGCACCATGACCACGTCGTCTTCCTCACCCGGCAGGACTTTGGGCCCTCAGGTACGCAAGGTACTGTATTTGCTGTGGCCAGGTCTTGCAGCTGCAGGGCAGAGGCCGGGGCTCGGGGCTGGGCTCTCTGGAGCCACCCGAAGAGCTCTGAGGAGCCACTCAACAAAGAGGTTCATGGGACTCTGGAGAAGGACCTGGCCCATCTGGATGGGCAAGCTTTAGAGTGGTTTCCTCGGGGATCAGGGGAAGTGAATGGGTCCCCGCTCTGGTCCCTGCTGTCTGGGTCGAGCCTGCGGGTGGCCGCGAGTGGTCAGGCTTACTGTCCCAGAGCCTGGCTGCGGGAAGACCCGTCAGCATCTTCAAGATGCTTCTGTTCCCCAGCCCCCCCACCC